AACCTAGGTATTACCTAGTTGAGGAAGATGCTTTCTTCAGTTTGCAGTCCTGTTTTGGCAATGTTAAATGTTCGTGTTTGGTTGTAGATGGTGTCCTTGTCAGCTATTCAGGGTATCTTCCACACACCAGCAAGAAAAAAAAACCAGTACGGTCCAAAGGGTGGATGACGCCTTTATCAGATTACTCATATTTAATACCTTCCTACACTGGCTACCAGACTCTTTCCAAGCACAATTCAAAACCTATAAAACCTGTAAAACTTGGGTCCATGCTGTCTAAAAAAAAAGAGTACATTTTCCCATAAAAACCTCCCTGGGCCTTTTGATCTGCAAGATGCCCTTCTCTTAGTCCCACCACTTTTAGAGACTCTTTTGGCGAGAATACAGGAGAGGATCTTCTCTGTTGCTTCTCCCAAGCTTTGAATTCTGTTGTGGGAGTTTGGATAGCCTATTGAAAGCCTTTTTTGGCATTTATTTTTAAGGTAAAGTTGGGCATTAGTTCCTAACTAATGCCTAACTTCACCAGTGTCCCAGTTCTGGCCTTTAAACCCTATACAGCCTGGTTACCTAACCAAATGTCTTCTTCAAGTTCCAGATGAAGCTTTTAAGATCATATTAAAGCTGAGGGTGCTGCTATTATAAGAAGTTCACTGGGTGACATGAAGAACTACAGTCTTCATCGTTTTATAAGATTTTGGGGGGTAGGTTATTGCATATTGCACTATTATAAGATTTGGGGGGTAGGTTATTGCATATTGTTTGGAGTAGGGAGTTAAGACCTACAGGGATAATAGGATGAATACAACGTTATTATTATTTAGAACCGATCCACTGAAGTCAGAATTAGAATTCCTATCCTACCATGACTTCCTTTGGATTGTTCTCCCAGTTCTCTAGGTCCATGACCTCTCTACTTATTCTTTTGAAGATGGTTTCTGCATGCAAATGTCGACTGTAAACCACATTTTCTGTATGTTCATGCAGTGTCTTGCCTTCAGGAAGAGCAGCGTAATTTCCAGTATAAAGGTGGATCAGTTAGAAAACTTGTTTTATAGAACTTAAAAGGATCCCACAGAATGTTTCTATCCTCCATTGGTATTAAAGCACTGCCCCTTTGTGACTGGGTTCCTTTTGTAAAGTAGGCGGGCCCAGGGATTCGGCGGGAATGACAGCCGGAGTCGAAGTAACCGTCAAAAAAGGATTTGTTTTATTAACATGACTATTAAACAGTTCTGAACCAAACGGATTCGTATTCTCTTCATTACCAAACAGATTGTATTTCTTGGGTTTTACCCCAGGTCCCATGTCTTTAACGTTTACAACTTCTTCATCCCAAAGAGGGAGGTTGGGGTCGGGGCGGTGAGGGGTGCACTCAGCACCGAACAAGTGGTCCGGCAACATGGATGGATTACCATTGAGCCTTCCAATCGAGGGAGGTAAGGGCTGATTCCACCAGGGATCCCTTTGCTCATCGCGGGGGAAGAACTCGCCCCCCCTCCCTGTCTCCATTCCCTACGGGGCTCACATACTAGCAATTTGTCAACTTCTGTAGGTAGCGGCAGCAATCCGTCCTCCTTCATGAGGTTTGGGAAGGTCTTTGTCAATGTCACAATCCTCTCTCTCTCTCTATTCCAGTTTCCACCGTCTGTGTATCTTTCTCCTCCCTCAGACCATTCTCTCTCCTCCTCTCCTCCTCCTCTTTTATAATGTCATCCCATCTCCACGTCCCTGACTCCTCCCCCCAGTCTCCGGTTCTCTCTGCCAGAAACACCTCTATTGCTTTATTCATTATACCCTCTTCGTCATCTAATTTAATCAACTCCCCCACCACACATCCTTCGCTTTCTTCTCTCTCTGGCAACTGCGAGGACGGCTCACTTCTCTGCCTCCACTCACACCCTTATAGAATGTGTTACTCTCAGGTGATGATTTCTGTCAAGGCCTTTATGATCCATCCAAAAACCATCCTGATATTTAAGCACCACCATTTATTTAAGTACCACTTGATACAGTCTGCAAGTCAACTAAGGAGTTGCAGAGTTACATCCTGGAAGGAGTTCAACATATTTCTCAAGGTAACATGCACAGGAAAATGATCAAGAGAAAAATAATGTATTTTTATTTTGAAAACACAGATAACTAGCCATATCACTTCAACATACTGGTTTCCTATAGTAAATACATGATAATGGTTGTTGTGGGTTTTTCGGGCTCTTTGGCCGTGTTCTGAAGGTTGTTCTTCCTAACGTTTTGCCAGTCTCTGTGGCCGACATCTTCAGAGGACAGCACTCTGTGCTCTGGTGTAGTTGGCTTTGGGAGTGCAGTATTTATGGCTTTTGTCTTTTTCTGTAGGTGGGTGATTAGTGTGTATTGTTGTGGGTGTACTGTTGTGCTAAGGAGAAGATATTATCTGTTCCTGTGGTTGATGGGTGTCATTAGCTGGTCTTTTCTGTGTAGTGATCCCCTGTCCTTGTTGCTGGGTAGAGTTCGTTGACCTTTTGCACGCTGTATTTTTGAGAGCTGGGAGCCACGTTTTGTTGAGCTTCACACTTTCCTCTTTTTGTTGAAGTTTTGCTGGTGCTTGTGGATTTCAATGGCTTCCCTATGCAGTCTGATGTAATGATTGCTCAACAAAACTTGGCTCCCAGATAATCTCTTCTCCTTAGCACAACAGTACATCCACAACAATACACACGAATCACCCATCTACAGAAAAAGACAAAAGCCTATCTCACAGCCATAAATACTGCACTCCCAAAGCCAACTACACCAGAGCACAGAGTGCTGTCTTCTGAAGATGCCGGCCACAGAGACTGGCAAAACGTTAGGAAGAACAACCTTCAGAACACGGCCAAAGAGCCCGAAAAACCCACAACCACCATTAGATCCCGGCTGTGAAAGCCTTCGCGAATATAAAATTCATGATAGTTACAAAGCTATTGCAGCATGCAGTCTTTCCAGACTCCTTTTCTTCCCCACATGTAGTAAAATACAAAAATTAAGCACTAGGGAAATAATTGTTTTAATAAGGAGTGAAATCCAATGCATTTTTCTGCTGATAGAACTGTCAGTGGATCTTAAAAGAGATGCTTGTGCCCCCATGTAGTCCCTGCACACCCTCAAAATTGGTTCAGTGGGCTAGAGAATCCAATAGACCAGGTGCAGGGGAGGGGCAGAGAAGGAAAGAAAGGAAAACCTATTACAACCTCATATATTGATTCCTTTGATTTTATTTTTTGCTAGTTTTCAAGAGTTTTACAATACTACATATTTGAACTTAATAAAAGTTGGTCTGTGGAAATTACTTCACCAGCAGTGACCTGCAAATCAGATTTCTGTATACTCAGACATATGAAGAAATTATGCACTGAAGGTAGGACAGTGAACAGTAACAATGTTGGGACTCCTGGATTTTGATGCTATAATCTGGATACCCAGAAGCTCTGACTCCCTCTGATGAGCTTTCCAAAGACATTTTGAATTGAACAGTGATGGTGAGACGTGTATTGGAAGTAATTTGAAGTTAAGAAAACAATGAGGAATGGGAAATATTAAGCTACCTCTTCTGCAGTCAATTCTCAAAACTGCCTCCTCCAAAACTGACCTTGCATTATACTAAACGAAGGCATCACGACCTAGTTTTAAGTGTTGTGAGGCAACAGCAGTAGCTATTCTCTGAATACCTTCCAGAAATAGCACAATGCATTTCATTTTGAACAGATTTTGTTCCTCAGCAAAAGCACTTGTGTTATATAATTTATAATATTTTACACATATGGTTATTATGCTCATGCCCAGTCAGCCACAGGCAAGCAATAAACATTTTCTAAAATAAAGTTAAGCATATGAATGTTATGTAATTACCATCTCACTTGTATCTGCCAATCTTTTCTATGGTCCAGGAGTTCCATGTTGGGCTTATGGTTCTAGTTTTACATGAGGATCACTTTGAAGGGAATGGGAAGCTAGAACCCTTCAGTCTCCTAAAGTCACTGCCAGCATTCCATTACAACATACAGTGGTTCCCTCGACTTACGAATGTCCCGACATACGACCATTTTGAGTTACGACCAGCTCCAGTCACAAAAGTTTGCTTTGACTTGCGGCTGGAGCTTCCAGTTACATCCAGAAAAAGGCAGGGAAAAAAGGTGGGGAATTCAAATTGCTAACCATTGGTGGCAAAGAAGCTGCTTCTTTGTAGCTCTTTCACCCCAACGATTAGTGTGTGATCGGAGGAGGCTTCGGACTGTCTGGTAAGGTAAGGTGCTGCTTTCTACTTTTAAAAACCTGTTCTGCGTGGGTTTTGCAGCGTGGTTTTAGGCTGGGTGGTGGTATCTATACTGTGATGGGTCTTGCAGGGTTTCCCCCCCCCGTTTCCGATGGGTCTTACGGGGTTTGTTTGCTTTTTGCTTTGCTTTTTTTGCACTTCTGAAGGGTCTTGCACAGTTTGTTTGCTTTCTACTTTTCTTTTTTTGCATTTCCGAAGGGTCTTGCATGGTTTGTTTGCTTTTCTCCCCCCCCCTTCAGATTAATTGCATTTCAATGCATTCCTATGGGAAGTGGTGCTTTGACTTACGGGGGGTGGTGGGGGTGATTTTTTTCTTCGGACGGAATAGATTAATTGCATTTCAATGCATTCCTATGGGAAGTGGTGCTTTGACTTACGATCATTTCGAGTTATGACCGGAATTTTGGAACCAATTAAGTTCGTAAGTCGAGGCACCACTGTATACATAATCTTCTGGGCTGTGAGATATCCACATCAGACCAGATTTGACTCTGGGACTTCTACTGTTGATCTCTAAAATCCAGATTTATACCATATTTGTATTGAAGTAACACTCCCCACCCCACCCCAGATCATATATTTCTATTTATACTATTTTGAGAACATCTAATCTCCCAGGGCCCTTTCCTGAAATAACCAAACTCCCATATTGTACAAAGGTAAAACTACTATTAAACTTGGAATACAAAAAGAGAAGATAGAAGTTTATACATTATATCCTGGTAGAAGTTTAGTAATAAGCAAGGCCAAAAGCCATGGCATTTATAGTCACAGCTGGGACCTCCTTTCTTTAATTTCTTAAATGAGCATCTAATTGATACATATTCGCACAATTTACAATTTTTGGCTTATGTCAACAGTTGTATTTGCATTTCCGGCTTGGTGTGAAAGATGTAAACCCAGCTGTGAACAAAACAGCCAAAAAAATTCATACATATTACAGGAATATACAAATGATTTAAAGATATTCTTTCCTAGGAAGAGAGATTTCTAATACCAACAAAGTATTGTATTCTAAAAGCAGAAGATTACCTTTTTGTTCACAATATGCATTCAATGTATAAATGCTGAAATCCTGAAATCAGAGCTAATATAATTCATGAGAACACTGTTCAATGATACGAGGATTCTATTTATACTGTTTTCAAGTGAGTTTGGACTTCCATAATTCCTTTTGGAGTTATAAACTTCATGCATTTTTATTCTTAAGCACAAAAGGCATTTTAGGTCTTCCAGTAAAGTTAATGACACTTGCCTTCTTTATAGAATGTACTTGAACTAGCAATTTCTAGAATATTTTAATAGTTTCAGAGAACTTCAGTACCCCCTGGAATTTGAACACTTCTTATAAAAGCTACAAATTGAAATAGTTCCCAAGCAAATCTGCAAATCTTATTATACTGATTAATTCCATCAAATTACAATGAAAAAATGTATCTGTACAATTAATCATATAAAGTGATTGCTCTGTATGTAATATAGCCAGTAGATCAACAAAAATGCACACAAAAAGAAGCAACTCAGAATTATAGTACAGTTAAGTTCTTATGGATATGTTTAGAAAGGACTTTTCCCTGTTTGTTTCCAGACTTCTTTTGCTCCTTTAATGGTCTCTCTTTTCACACATTTCCAGTAACCTTGGACTCCTTGCTGTTGAGGAACCTGTTAAAATAAGTAGCAATTATCTGCATTTAAATTGGTGTTATCCAGCTGGCTATATTATATGAAAAAAATACACTGAATACCTCTCTATCTGCTTGTCTGAAACTAGCAATCCTTACCCAGTTATCTCTGCGATGGCCTTTCCACATAGTAATTGTAAGAGCTTGTCTGAAGTTGCTTATTTTTGTTTTCACTCTTATTTTTGTTTTCTTTGATAGTATATATATTTAGTGTACACAATTATTTTCAAAATGCAAGATACCTTGAATACATCACCAAATAAGTAGTATATATATATGTAGCAAGTAAACTGATAATTATTAGATTACGTATATTAGGTGCTTCCTATTATCCTTGATATTTCACAGCCACCAGAATTTTTACTTTTAATTTCACCGAATAAAGGGAGAAAACCTGAAAGCTACCAGAGATTTTTTGTAGTAATTTCCATGCATCACTCTTGTGGGGTCAGACTCCTTGACATTTTTCCCCAATGCAAAAATTTGATGACAAGGCAACCTATCAGTTGTGCTTTGATTATCACAATAGTGGGAGCTTTTCTTTGTGAGCTAGAGTTTGTACCTAGAGTTAACCCTTCATTCTTCTATTTTATGTTTTCAACATCATTCATCCCTCTATTTTGTGTTTTATTCCCACAGAGATTTCTTTCTACAGAAGAACAGGAAGAGACACTCAAGATCATGGTGCAAATAGCTGCTGGCTACTGGAATGCACAGAAATTTCAGAAAACCAGTCTATGCTTTATAGACTACAGCAACATTTTTGACTGTGTGGATGAGAAACTATGGGTTGTTCTGAAATAAAGGGGTGTGCATTAGCACTTGATTGTCCTAATGCATGAGGCATATCCATGACTGAAGAGCTTAATGAACTCTTGTGCGGCAGACAACAACTGCTAGGCCTTGTGGTCCATTCTCATGTTGAAAATTCAGAGAAGCCTATGTCGCAGGAAACAGGTGGAGATGAACAGTGTCATAGCTGCTATCAAGGCCAGGAAGCCAAGGAGGTATTGTATGGTTAAGATGGCCTTAATAGCCGCCTAGAGTGGTCTTATATGCCAGATGGGCGGGGTATAAATAAATAAGTAAGTAAGTAAGTAAGTAAGTAAGTAAGTAAGTAAGTAAGTAAGTAAGTAAGTAAATAAATAAATAAATAAATAAATAAATAAATAAAGGCTGTAACATAAGCTAGTTCAGCAAGTTTTTATGTCTATTGGGAGAAAAGCCTTTGCCACAGTACAGTCCAACTGAGCTGTGATACACTACATAGTGCAAGAAGGCTTGAGTTGTGATTTATAATTATTTACTTAGAATCCGAGACTCCAAAAAATGTAAAGGGTGACCGTTATGTGCAGGTGCAGGAATTTCCTGGAATGTACTACTAGGAGCCAGTCTTATAAAGATTAATAGAATAGGTAATTCTTTGAGAGAGACCTTTTATAGACATTAATGGGCAGTAAGACTATCCCATCCCATGAATCCTTGCAGTTTCCATGGAACCTTGTCACTCTCAGAAAACACTGATGCAATTTTCTTCATTTTGAAAGGTAAATAATACAAATTGAGCCCTATGTGTAGATAATGGCACTGTTCTTTTAACCTCTGTTTTGGCTGCATCTCCCAGAATTTCCTCTGAGAGGATTTGGGGGAAATTCTGGGAATTGCACTCCAAACCTGCAGAAGGATTTTGGGAGCCCTGGGATGAGAGAGAGCATTTAATGTCCAAACATCACTGCCACTGGGACTAGGGCTTGTGATTTCTGAACATTAAAGCCTCCCCACCCACCCCCTGTCTCGAGGCTCCTGTTGAAGGGGATCCCTAGGGAGACTTGGAGCAGGGTGGGCAAGGCATGAGCAGGATTCCAGCTAGTAATTTTAATGAGTCCATTCTAGGCAAGACTAATGTTGGATTTCAACATACTCATCTGATAAACAAGTTTTATACAGGTAATCCTGTAGCAGCATAAGGATTGGGTAATTCAGTCCCCAGTCCCAACTAAAAATCTCAACACAAGCAGACTACTGTAGATAATACTGTGCATCTCTCACTCCATCAAGCTGGATGTTCAGTGCTGGCTAATGAAATGTAATAATAATGTGCTGTTGTTGATTTCAAATTATGATGACCCTTCTCAGGTCACCATAATTTGTAGGTAGGTACAAATGATACTCTAGTCGCTTCTTTTTGTGGATACTCTTGGACTGTGTAGTTTGCCAAAGGCTATACAGGGTAAGTTTTCTTCTGGGAAGCACAGTGGGAAAGTGAACCCTTGACATCTGACTGCACCACCAAGTAACCAACTGACTGAACTATCTAGCCAGTAGATGAACATATAATGCTAGCCAAGTTGCCGAAGTTAGTGAACTCTAATACAAAATGTTCATTTAAATTTTGAATTGAAAATACTGTATTTTTTCATTCATAATTCCTTCATCTTCAAATTCATAATTCCCTATAAAATTTCCATGATTACCTACTTCCATATGATCAAACCCTCCTAAGGTGTTACGTTAATCAGTGAGAGCAGTTACATAATGAATATTAGTATTGAACATTTAGAGAACAAGCTTATGTTACCCTTAAGCCTCGATGCATCCTGTTCTTGAGAACTCCAAGGAACTCTGCATGGCTGAGGCAGTTGTCTCCATCTAAATCAAAGATCTTGAAGATGGTGTCCATAACATTTTCTGAAAGTTCCTCTCCTGTAACCACTTTCACAGCTCTCTTGAACTCAGCTAACAAAGCACAACGTACCACATATTATTATACTACAACCCAAAACAAGTGGGTAAATTTAAAGCATTAAAATATGGATTAATTTATGGCAAGAAATAATTTTATAATAAATTTAAGAAATAAATTAGAAATAAATAACACAGGCATCTTATGAGTTGTGTGAGCTAAATCAATAGCATTTACTGAAGATATAGCAGTATATGAATATTTGGAAGAGCTATTGTTGCTTTGTATGGAAGAACAATAAAAGGATTACTTTTAAATATGTATTTGGATTATAAGAACCTGTTGCACCATAATTTTACAATGTACTATTTCATCCAGATCTCAAAAAAGTTACTTTTTAAAAAACATATACTGTAGTCTCTGAGGTATTGTGACCACTGTCCCTACTGGCTAATTGATTCTGGGAATGTAGCCCAGTATAGCAATTCTCCCAAGCAATGCTTCATCTGAAACTCTCTTGTTTATGCTGCTCTTAAAATATCTGGCTGTTACTTCTTGAGTGTATTTGCATTCAAAAAGATTTATGCAAATGATGTAAAGCCTCATTTCCCCTCCTGTTCATCTGCAGAGACTTCACTTCTAAACACAGATTTTATAATAAAAGAGATGACTCCATACCAGTTTCATGAAAAAATGATTTTTTCATTATTAACAGATCACAACAAGTGGGAAAAAAGGAATGACAAAAGTTACATTTATGGTACAATGTAATTATAGCTTTATAGTCCAAACACATTAGGTTTTTGTGTGTATGATTAGAAAAATATATATGTATGGCAGAACAGCAGTACTGTGGTTACAGAGAGTCAAGAAGTAACAAAGGAGAGAAAAAAGTTATGAGGTTGGTTCTTAGTCTTTCAATTCTAGTGTCTTTCTTCCAGGGGTCAAGAAAAGCACACACAAACTTCTCTTCTATATGGCATTTGCGATGCAGACAACTTCTAAGGATTGTTGCACACATTCTAGCAGTGTAAAATACCTTTATACATTCTAACTTTTCTTTACTACTGTGTTCCCCCCAAAATAAGACAGGGTCTTATATTAGATTTTGCTCCAAAAATGCATTAGGACTTATTTTCAGGGGATGTTTTATTTTACACTCATGTCATCTTCTGATTGCTGCATAATGCTGCACAAGGGTGGAGGGCGGGCTTTCACTTAACTAGGGCTTATTTTTGGGGTACGGCTTATATTACGAGCATCCTGAAAAATTGTACTAGGGCTTATTTTCAGATTAGGGCTTATTTTCAGGGAAACGGTACATGTATATTCAAAAGAAAATGTGAATTTCCCCCTAATTAAGAGAACCTCTCTCTCTCCATAGGGTAGGAGCATACATTTGTTCTCTTTATGAAAAATGCAATAAGCAATAAAAATCAAAACATCTGCTGGAGCTCAAATCTTTTGCACCCCCTTTTAGGGCCAATATATTCAACAGCTTCTCGCTGTTCACATTTAATGAATGAAATCTATTTACTTCTTGTCTTGAGGACTAGAAAAAAGCAGCAGGTTGCTATATTTAACTTGCTAGAACGGGCAGTTGTGGTACCTAGAATCTGCTGTGGTAGCTGCCTGCCAATATAACAAGAACTAAGGATACCAACAAACCTTTCTGCTTATGCTTGCCAGGACACTGGTGATCTACAGCATTTTGGTTGATAAAAACAGTGACACATTGAAATGCATTGACACAAAATCCTTTGACATACATCAGATGTAATGCATACCATAGTTTTTCCCTCTGGAGGTTCAGAGCTATGAAATTATGCAGTCCTTACCCCGTTTGACAGGACGGTTGGCTACAGTAAACATTTTCAAGGCAATTGAAAAATCTTCTAGGCGGTTTGTAAACTCACAGAAAGTCTTGAATTCCTCCAAATTTATACACTGAAATACAGGAAAAAGACATAGTTAAGATCTGGGTGGTGGTGGTGGCATTCAAAAATACCCATGAATTTTATTCAGAGATTTATCAGAGTATTATAAATATGATATAAAATTAGTTCATATTGTAAAGATTACAGGAAAAGTATAAAAATAAACAGTTTTACTATAATGTAACATTTCGTAAGTACATTTTTCAGTTAAAATTCAGAAAAGTTATTCATGTTTAGACACTGTACACCAACCTCTCCTGCTTGGATTCTCTCTTTCACATTTTGCCAGTAAATGTCATTGTTTTCCTCCTCGGTGAAATATAGAAGCCATGCTACAAAATCCTCTTTTCTCATGCAGGACAGACCTTTGGAAAACTGGATGAATTCCATTTCTTGCACCTCTGTTTGTAAATTTTGCATAAATCTAACAATAAGGACAGTAAAACTCAGTATATAAATGAAGAATATCTACTGTTTCACAGTAAGGACATATAACATAGTCAGGTACTGAACATGTATACTGATATAAAAATGTAAATAAGTAACAACATCAGTTATTGTTTTCATTCCAAAATGAAGAAACAAGTACTTCATTGTTATGTATCAACAGAAGCAACTTCCATAAGATAGGAATTTTGAAAAGTTACAGTGACATACACAGACAGGTAGCAGCTAATAGTGAAAGATTCAAAGCATCTGCCACAAGCACATCTACTCTTTGGCTCCAAGACAAAAACCAAGGAAAATCTGTGTCTTTTAAATGGTTTATCTATGAATCTTGAAGAAACAGCAACGAATGCTAGGGCTATAATGTAGAGAGAGAAAAACTACCACTTTTTAAAAGTCTAACCCCTGGTCACACAGAGAACTATGTTACTTGGAAGTCACTTATAATACGCTACAAATTGGAGATGCGATACAGAGAGAAGTAGATGCTAATAAGAAAGATTGAAAGCAGCTATATCAAATGCACATTCACTCTTCGGCTACCATCTCAAACTTCTCAGATTAAAATCAAGGAAAAGTGGGTTCGTTTTTTAAAAAAAGATAATCCATGTACCTTGAGAATGCCAGGAGTATAACGTGGAAAGAAAGAACTACACACTTAGACGGGATAGAAACCTTGAAAAGTCAAGCTCCTGAACAGGATGTACTGGAGTGGGCAGAACCAAATTGAAGCTAAGATAATGGGGTTTTCACACCAACACAACTCTCTGTGAGTGCAGAGAAGAACAGACAATGTAACACTTATATCAGCATACTTTATGCCCCTCAACATGTGCTATGGAAAGTCTGGGGCCAGCTGCCCCAAAGGCCCTTGATATTGCTTTTTGCTGGGTAAAAATTATCTGACATTCCTACCTAAACTTTACAACATATTGCATTAATACAAATAAAGAAACCAAGCAATAAAACACTAAATGAAATTATCATTATTTTCTATTGTAATCACATATATTCTCATCTGGGAGGATGTATCCCACTGAGTATACACCTAGGATCATGGTGTTTATTAAATTTATTAAGTCTTATTTTAAGTTTGAAATAGATATTCCCTAACGCTGTCTTTTAGGAAGTCTACCACTAGGGTGCTCTCTAAATCCATCACCTTCAGAAGTGTAGTACAAGGTATGGGCAGAAAACATACTTCTGCTAAAAGTCTGTAAAATTGTTACCGGGTTTAAAAAAATTACTTTTATGCTGCACTTTATGTTGACATATTCTCATATGACATTTTCCTATGGAAACACTCAAGAGGTATAAAAATTGTGTCACTCAGGAATGTTACAAAAGAAATAACTTTTGAAATCACATCAATTTGAGCAAATTAATTTCATGTATTCTTCTTTATACACTATTACTAACTGGGGTTAGGGATGAGGATGGGCAACTCTGTCAGAGTTTCTTCCAGTTTCTCAACTTTCCAGTCTTAATTTTGTTTGACTACTAATTTTGTTTAACTGCATACATTTGTAAATCGTTTCAAGTCTATGCAAAGTTAATATGAATTTGCCTTCTAATACATATTTTGTATAGAATTCTGCTAAAGGTTTTATTTATAATTTTCTTTAGATCTATGCTGCCCCTCTGGTGCATTTTATATTAATCTGTTTCCTATTCCAGGGACGTGGTGGCGCTGTGGGCTAAACTGCAGAAGCCTGTGCTGCAGGGTCAGAAGACCAGCAGTCGTAAGATCGAATCCACACGACGGAGTGAGCTCCCGTCACTTTGTCCCAGCTCCTTGCCAACCTAGCAGTTCGAAAGTATGTAAATGCAAGTAGATAAATAGGTACCACCTTGGTTGGAAGGTAAAACGGCGCTCCCTAGTCATGCTGGCCACGTGACAATGGAAACGGTCTTCAGACAAGCGCTGGCTCTATGGCTTGAAAACAGGATGATAACTGCCCCCTAGAGTCGAACACGATTGGACAAAAATTGTCAAGGGGAACCTTTACCTTTATTTCCTATTCCAACCCCCATTTTTTTGTGAGCAGCCTATTAAGTTTTTGCATTCAATAAATAAATAGCCTCCCTGGCTTTTAGGTTTCTTGGGTAGACCCCTCTTTCAGTCTTGCCACTCTCACAGGCATGTTCGATGAGGACGTGGGAGAGGGACTTTTCAGTGACTTTTCCAGGTTGTGGAATGCCCTCCCATGGGAGATGCTATCCGGCTACCTTTTCATCAGCAGGGGGAAACTTTTCTTTTCAAGCAGACTTTCCCTAACTGAACTGGACAGCAGGTAAATAAATTTTAATTCAGGATTCAGTACTTTTTTACTGCTTCAGTGTGCTTTTTCGAAGCTTCTTTGAAAGAATGTGGAAACAACAGCAGCAGCAGCAACAACAAAACAACACAGGTATCTTCGACTCTGAGGCTAGACCAAATTCTTCAAGAATTTTTCAAACACGTGAGAGAGAACTTTCTGGTTTAGATGGTGTAATGGAAATCTGCAAACAGAATGTTTGGATCTGTCCTGATGATATTGGCTAATATCTCAAACTGCAAATGCAAAAAGTATAGGAGAAAGTAGCAACCTTGTTTAGTATCCCTAGTAATATTTATAGGATCTCAGTCCACATTATTACTTCTTACTATGGCTTGGTGTTTTTCATACAATGTATGCAATATTGTTAAGAAAAGGCCCAATTTCCATAACATATTTTCGAAATGAAACACCATTCCAAGCTATCAAAAGCTTTTGTAGCATCAATGATGCAATGTCAAATGTACTGTTTTAATTTTTTTAACTATGGATTATTATATATCATGTTGAGCAGTCTTCTGATTGGATCAGAGATGTGTCTCTGTTATATGAAGCTATAATGGCAGTGACAGAGCTTCAAAATTTTGTAAAAACATCCACCAAAGTCATCCAAATCTGATGTTTTGTGTGATTTCAAATTTTGAATTGATTTATGTAATTCCTCAGATGTAATTGGTTTACATTTTTATTTTTTATTTTTATTTTTTGCTTTGGCTATCAAATTGTGAGTTTTAATTTTGGTAGGCTTTGATCCAGTGTGCAATGAATTTAAAAAATGTTTTAAAAGATTATTAAATTCAATAGCCTCACAGAATAATAGAATAGTGAAGTTGGAAGGGGCCTATAAGGCCATCAAGTCCAACCCCATGTTCGATGCAGGAATACAAATCAAAGAATATCTGCCAGGTGGTTGTCTAAATTTCTCTTGAATGCCTTCAGTGATGGAGCAATCACGACCTCTCAAGGTACAGTAATTGTGTTCCACTGTCTTACTGCTCTAACAGTCTGGAAGTTTTTCCTGATATTTATAAATTCTCCCCTTTCTTAGTGTGCTTTTAAAGTGTGTAACTGCTTTTAAAGTGGTGGCCTTTTAAATGCTATTGTATGTTTAATTTTTAAAAAAATATTATATTTGGATTTTACTTGTATCCATTTTTCATAAACTGTGAGACACCTTAGATATCTACACCGGGAGAAAGGCAGCACAGAAATGAAACAAACATTCTTATTGAATTACTGTAAGCTGTCTTGATGTATGGGGAGGTAACTTACAAAAATAAATTAAAAGGTTCTAATTATTTTTCCACCAAGCCTCTGTTATGGAACCTGTTAAAGAATAAACTGGAGGAAACAGCTACTTTATAAAGAAGGTTTTTACATCTGTGTCAGTAAAACTAACAAAGAAGATAACATCTGCACAGAAATGCAATATTTAAAAATAAGTATGCAGAGACTTTGGAAGAGAATGTTAGTAGCATTAGCAAAGTCTACAAGAATCTGAGTAAAGACTGAAGATGTATAACAAAAAAGAAAAGAAACAAAACTTACGGCCTCTGTAAAACTAACATATAACTGCAATTCTTGGGATGCACAGAGTACAGTATTCAAACCACAGGATTTTATGCAAATAGTCATGGTTATGGGGTAGGATCAGAATGAAATGATGTATAGAAAATGATGTTTAATAACAACTCTAGAACATATATTGGTAAGTTTCAGAAGCCTGGATGCACATACACCACCCCCCTGGGCCATGAAAAGTTGTACCCATTACTGTCTTCCTCAATTTTTTTCCCCTCCTTTTGTTTTAACTAAAAAGATCTAGCATTACCAAGTGACTTCAGGGAACACTTCTGTCATATTTTTGGCTATTTCTTAGCTATTATAAGTTGCTTTAAACAGCCCCACCTCCAGTCTAACTGAGCTGGGGAGAGAGAACATGACAAAATTGCATACTGTGCTGGATCGACAGCTACATGGAAAAAAATTCTTATGGGGTGCTACACTTCGGTCTCTAATGGCTCACACTTTGCCCTATCCTGCTGCAGAAGGGCAGACAGCATATTTCTTGTCAATCACATCTGATTCTTAATACTAATATTTCTCAGAGGCTGAAATCTTGTTGTATAACTTTGCCTGCAGGGAAAACGAAAGACGTCATTCCTGTTAATCAGATTGCTACTGATTAAAGACTTTGTTTTCGATTTCAGGGTGAGCGTGGTTCACAAGCTTAGATACAAGGTTGCATATATCCAGAAATTGAAAAAGGATGTCTTGCACAGACAGAACTTGCCTAGAAGAATCTTAGTCAAAGAATGTACAGTGGGGTCTTGACTTGCGAACTTAATCCGTATTGGAAGGTGGTTCGCAAGTCAAAAAGTTCGCAGGTCAAAATCTGCATTCCCATAGGAATGCATTGAAAACCATTGTAATCTGTATCTGCTCTGTACCGTCCATAGAAAGTAATGGGAAGCTGCTGTTCCGCCTTCTGCCACTAGAGGGGGATATTTTGTTTCTTTTTTTTTTCCTTAGGTAATCCCAGGAAGGTGAAACAGGCAGCCCAGCCATTTCCTCCCAGCTACGGGGGAATGGGCCGGGTGGAGATGGGAGCAGCAGTAGCACATGGTGCCCGGCCATCAAGGCTCCCTGCGGCGCTCCC